GGCTTGGGATGACGGGTCCGTGGTACCGCGACCTGGCTACCTCTACCTCTCAGGACTACTCTTCCCTACCTTTTGACTACCCTTGTTGAGTATTGTCTCTTCTTTAGCCTTCGTTGACATCATCTCAACCTCAACGGTCTGACAACTTATGAGTTGCTGCTCGTTTGGGATACAACGATTTGTCCTGTCTTTACGGTTCAGATGTTCTTTGACGTATCGGGATTCCCCATTGGGATGATACGGTTATTTCGTAGGTTTTGTATGCTGATGAGTCTGTTATTCATATGGGGACCACAAGAGACTCACTTCTCGCCCCGTGGTTTAGCAAGAACTCTGAAGCATCAGGACATTTCCCCTGCGAGATAACCTCCCTTGATGACCCTGTCCTAGTTGTCATTTTTTTCAGGTGAGCAAAGCCCCCTTTGGATCAAGAGTTTTTTTGGGCAACCCCCAAGGTTTAATTAACTAAGTGGGATATGTCCCCTTAGGAGCACTCATGACCCCAGAACAGGCACCTACACCTGAATCTCTGGTTGTGTAGTCTACGTAAATATACTTTCGTGGATATCGGTTTAAGGTGCTTTCGCCCAATCTTGTTTGGGCAGACACTCTTAACATATCCTCGCGAGGTTTACCACATGTAGGCTCTCCACGTTTTGTGTTTTCTTTTGTCTGTCGCTTTGTCGTATGACCCTCCTTTCCGGTTTCTCTCTTCTTCGGGTCTTTCATATGACTCGAAAAAGAGATTCATTCGGAAAAGAGAAGTATACGACGATCGATAGACTGGCGACTCCTAAAATAAAAGAGAAAAACGAACAAAAACAGACCCATTCTCTTACCAAGATCGATTTACGTAATGGGTACCACTAGCTAGATGAGGCTATACGACTAGTGGAAGACGCTTTCAAGACTCGTTATGCCTTTCAAATTGTCTAATGCATCCAACACATTCATGAGGTTAATGAATCAGATGTTACGGGCTCAAATCAGGAAATTTGTACTACGATGACATTCTGGTATACAAACAATATGAGGAGCACTTATGACACTTGAGGGCGGTCTTTGAGGTGTTGCGATCAGAAAAGCTATACACCCATCCGAAAAAGTTTCACTTTATGATAGCACGTATGCTCTTTGGGTTATATCGTGTCTAGTGCATGCATTCAAATAGATCCTAAAAAGATTGAGACCATTGTGAGCTAGACCACACTGCAGTTTTTTACCGAATTGAGATAGTTTCTGGGACTAACATTATTTTACAGGTGATTCATCAAAAGCTTCAGTATCACCATTGCTCCCCTGACGAACTTTTTAAAAAGAGAGAATTTTCACTTGACAGATGAAGTTCAAAACAACTTCGACACACTAAAGGTGACTTGAGCGCCCGTTTTGACATTACCAGACTTCAATCAGTTCTTCGAGGTAGAGTGTGATGCATCCAGCATGGGGATATGAGTAATGTTGAGTCAGGGAGGTCACCCCATAGCCTTTTTCATTGATAATTGAACGTGTCCAGAAAAAAAATATTTGGCGTACGACAATGAGTTCTATGCAATTGTGAGAGTTCTTGAGGACTGAAGTCACTAACACTGACGAGCGAGTTCACTTTGTTCATAGATCATGAGGCCTTGAAATTCTTGAACAACCAGAGCAAACTGAAGGGTTGTAACATGTCTTGGATGAAGTTCTTCGCATCATTCCAATTCGTGCTTAAGCACAAGGTGGGAAGCCATAACCCCTTATCAGATGCAGTGAGCCATCGTCACTTGCTGATCACTGCGATGCAAGTTCGAGTCATATGCTTTGAGCTAGTGAAAGAGCTATACGAGACAGATGAGGATTTCGAAAAAAAAATTAGAACGGTGTCACGATATGCCTACCGGGTAGTACCACAGGGTTAATGGTTACTTGTTCTACTAGAATAAGTTGTATATATTCCTGGATGTTCGCTGATTGAGTCCATTGTTCAAGAAAGCCACAGTGGAGGACTTGTAAGACATTTTGGCAGAGATAAGAATCTCGCACTCGTGAGAGAACACTTCTTTTAGCCCCAACTGACTAGAGATATGGAGCAGCATGTCAGATAATGTCGTATTTGTCATATGGCAAAAACCAAGGGACCATATGCAAGACTGTACACCCCATTACCAGTATCAGAGGCACCATGGGTGGATGTTAGCATGGATTTTGTGATGGGCCTCTTGAAGACAGCGAAAAAAAGATTTTGTTATGGTTGTCGTGGATCAATTCTTGAAAATAGCGCAATTAGTACCCTGTCATTGGATGTTGGATGCATAGCTTGTTGCGACTTGTACTTCAGGGGAGATACCTCAAATATAAGATCTAAAGCTCAACAAAACATAATTCACATCCCCTGTATCAAATAAACTATAGGGAAAAACAAGATAAGACCATACTGGTTTAAAACCCTTCCAGTGATGTCTTTCTTAAGAGTTGCAATTAATTTTTAAAAAAAAGAATCTTAGTTACGGGCATATAAAAGACAAGAATCTAAACATAAAGGTTGGTGATAATGAGGTCAAATTGAAAAAAAAGGAAATTAGTACTAGGATACCACTAAAAATATACGATTGAAAGATTTACATACATACCATACAATTTCTATGTATTTACATATTTAACACCTAAATTTCCATTTTTACAATTATAACACTTCAACCACGCATGAAAACGTCTCTCACTTTTAAGAGATTGGATATAGTGATATTTAAAGAAATGAGTGTAATAAATGTATGTAAATGTCCCTATATGATTTCACTGGCAGATCAGTTAAATATTTAAGTACAATATGATATCCTAATCTATCAACCTTAACAAAGATATCAGTATGTTAACTCATGCTAATTTAAATAGAGCATTTTGTTCAATTGGATAAAAAAATAAAACTTAACAAACCTTTGATATGATTTGCAAAAATTAAACCCTAATTTAAGCTTTTGAGCCATAAACTACCGAATCCAAATATAGAATAGGTTTAGTCAACTGGGTTTTGCATGGTTTAAAGGCACTTGAGGTGCCCAGTTTACCCCACCAAGAGCTTACATATTTCTATCCTAAGTAAGGCTTACGCCTTTTTCATGCAAGGTGTTTTCCTAGAGGTGTATGCGGCAAACGCCTAAAATAATATTTACTTAAATTATTATTTTTTGTCATATGTGATAGGATTTATGTTTTTTGCCTTAAGAGTTAGGAGATTTTTGGAAACTGAGAGTTGCTATTTGAGAAGATAGAAAAAAATTCAAGTTAATACTATGAGCTTTTATGAAGATGGAAGGTCAATTGTTGCAAGTAGTAGCGCATTGAGTGAGAAAGCCAACATAATAAGAGTGTGCAGTGTAAACCAAGTGCATGGCCTTCGATAAATTTAACTAGTTTTTTTATTTTATATTTAAAAATTTTTATTATTTAACAAATTTTAATTTTCCTTCATTTTCTTTTACTTGGATTTTTAATTTCCTTTTATTTTAGTCATCTTTAAATAAGTTTAATTTTTTAAACCAAATTTTAGTCAGTTTGTTTTTCATTTCTTTTAAATATATTTTTTTTTCAATTTTCTTGAATATTTTTTTGGTTTTATTTTAATTTTTTTTATTTTCTTTATAAAAAAATTTTCTTTTACTTTAAAATGTTTATTTTTCCTTTCTTTAAGGGTTTAATATTTTAATTGACTTTTTAATTGTTTAGCCATTCCTCTTGAATACTTTCTTTCATCGTCTTTTTAATAAATATTTTTCTATTTTCTTTTTCTAGTTTATACAAAAAATTGATGATTACGGAAGAAAAGATCTAACTTGAAAATATGGTACTTAACTGAAAGTATTAGGAGAAAGTAAGAAAAAGGCTACATGCACTTGAACTTCTTAAACTTCAAGCGATGATGAATGATGGAATTGAACATTTGAGTGTTGCTGACGTGCCAAGTGAAGTTGACCGAATAGTTCAAAAAAACCATAAGGATTTCAAGTTTATAAAAATTGCCTTGAATGATCTTGAAAGTAAAGATATGATCGCCCACAATAAAAAAACTACTAAATTAGAAATTTATGCTTCACAATCATCCATACGAAAAAAAGCAAAGCAGAGTCAAGTATCAAAGTAGTTAAAAGGATGATTTAATTATATTAGCTTGCTTCAATATTTTCTTAATTTGCTATTTTATTATGTTGAATCTAACATTAAGTGATACAGTGAATAGCAAGAAAATGCTGTGATTAAAGAGGATTTTGAAGATGGCTGTCACTATATTGAAGAATCAATTAATTGTCAACATGTCGAACTTAAAGAAGAAGAAAACAAAAATCCTGGTCTTATTGTTTTACTTAAATTTTAATTGAGACACTAACTTAAATTTCATTTTATTTAAGAACTAAAAGTATTAGATTAAGATTTAGCAATAAGATTTGCTTTCTTATTATGTGATTTTATGATTCGCGAAAATAAACTAAATCAATTTATTGCTTGTTCACGACATAACTATGAATTGCCTTTAATTTTTTTTTTTTTTGTATTTTAGTTCAAGATTTATGCATCGATCAAACTCAATACTTACAAATCGCCTTGACAAAGCAAAACACCTATGCTCTCGATTTTACCTTTTAAATCTTGGGTTCTTGAGACAATGCTGAGGTCCACGTCTAGGATTAATTAACTCATCTCAGCAATAAGCTTCACTTGGCGGCATATCAGTAAGTCAAGATTAGGGTGTGGTGTTGCTCTAATTATATTAAAGGTTTGAGTGATTTAGACCGGTATTTTGGTAGGGAAATCCCAAAAATTAAATAGGAATCAAAACAATTGAAAGCCAGGAACACAATGAATGAAGATCAAAGTCCGTCCAGCTGCGGTGCTATAGAATACTTGTTTTTCAATGCTTAAATATATGAAGGATTCTAGCCTTTAAACTATCAACAAGATTAGCTAAACCCTAAACAAAATCAAAATTAGTAGAAAAATTTTAAGTGAAGGGTACTTTAACTTACTTTGATCATTCATAATTTGAGATTGAAGATTTCTTTGAGGATGCCCACCAGATAAACCAATCTGATAAAAACAAAAGAAACAAGTCAGGATTAAATGATGAAATCTTAACTTTAACATCATTGATTCACTAATTTAGGCCCTACCACGTAATTAAGAAAATATAACTTCTAATAAAATAGACAAAAATAGAAATAGAGGAAAAAAGCTACGGGGTTCAAAATTGTGCGGTATGTACAAAAAAATAGACAAAGAACTTATTTAAGAATGCATAACAAAAGATCATTAAGAGCCAATAAAATAATAGAAATTGCAATTTGACCCATAAGGAGGAAAAAAATACTAAAAATTTAGAAAAGCCCGATTATGTGACCTCAGCCATTTGTTTGAGGCAAGATTGTAAAGCCGAGCCAGATGAGCTGTGTCGGCACAAAAAAGAAGAGGTTGTTTGGAGGTCGTTCGTAAGAAGCTGTCGGCAGCCGAAATCGAAATCTCATCGCCCACTTCGGAAGAACGTTTTAATTTATATATATATATATATATATATATATATATA